AGCTGAAGAAACGCTTCCACAAGGCTAGGGCTTCACACAAGCATCCCAAATCAATTGCTCAATTTGCATGGTCAAGTCCTAATACCAGCACTACTCCAGTGCCTTGTGGGAAGCCAACTATGCAGGAACATTTTACAGCGGCAACCACGCATCTGCCACAGTATCTGAAATCAAGAATAATAGCTTACACTGAATGATCCACATAGGATTCTGTTCTTCACAATCTGTTCATGAGGCCCTGCTGGAAGGATTCCCCACTTGTGGTTGCAAGATTAACATTCACAAGGAGCAGAGCTTTTAAACTAGTTTCAGGAGGAGCTATTGTATCATGATGGTTAAGAGAATAAGCTGCGGTCAGGGAGGTCCCTAGTTTTGCCTCTGCCACAAACTCACTAGATGTCTTTTGCCAGGCCTTCCTCTCTAAGCCTCTGCTTCCTATGCCACCAGCAGATAACACGGACCCTACCTTCTAGAGATGTTAAAAGGATTTCAAGATGATGTGTATGAAGTATTGAAAATGCTATATAAATGCAAAGCACTGTTATTAGAGGCCCAGATGTCACCAAGGAGGCTTGCTAAGGTTCAGTACTTCTTTTCCTTAGGGAATTTCAAGCACCTTAGTACCAAACTAGCTTCCAAAACAAAGCAATTTCATAAGGATATAATAATGGCTTCCAGAATTGTTTTTTAACTTCTCTGGAAAAGATTTTAATCTCATCTATGCTTTTCCAAAAAAACAATGTTTAAAAGTATTTTTTAAGTCCAGCTCTTATTTCAACAGTATTAAATAACAAACAATACCACTCATAATTAGGCATTAAAGGGAAAATTCAGCGGCACTACCCTATTGACACAGCCCTGAATGGAAACTTGCAAAGAATTCTCTCTTTCCTGGAACTGCACTAATGGTTCATCACAATATCAAACTTCCTACCCAAGCAAAAATTTGGCAGTCTTCTGAATTTTTCAGAACTGGGTCTTAGCTGTTGTTCTTTAGCACATAAAATAAATTATTACAAGGCATGAAACATCCTTTCCCTTTAGTTCCTACAGAAAGGTTGCTCTTTTGCCTAGACACTATGGACCGGACCCTTCCTCAGGTAGATACAAGGTCCATAACAAGAGCCTCATATGACCAGTATTTTCTCTCACAATACATGCATGAGGGCACTGCAGCAGAACATTATGGGGAGTTTGTTCATGCCTCCCATAGCCCTGCCTGTTCTCTCTGTTTCATTGAGCCAAGGAATACAAACTCTGGAAAAGGCTATGGAAAGCACTGCAGTGCCTACATGTGTGTACAATACAGTCCCTACATGTGTGTACAATTATCAATGGAGAAAGACCACATTATGGGATGGACAGTTCCTTCCAGCTTCCTCCAGAGGCACTAAGCTGTTCCTTTGAGTGGAGTGATCCCATTCTTAAAGAGGTGCCAAAGCTGAAACACCTTGTGATACTGTAATAACTTGGAAAACTTAGGAGCTGTACAAAACAAACAACCCAGCCCTGCTGGTTGAAAAGAGAAGGAAGGAGATAAACAGAACAGAATCCAATTATTATGGCCAAGATGACTACTGCCTCCCTGCACACCATTTCCCACTATAATCATGACAGACTACACTTGGGAATGAGCAGGGTGTTGTTCTCCTCTAAGGACTTAGAGAACATCCTAGGGATGGACATAGCAAAGAATGAATGTCATTATCCCCCTTGCTCTGACAGCTTGTGCTCTGCTGTTTGTTAGGGCTGCAGTTCTGGGACTCCAACTGCTTTAGATAAACTAGGCTGGTTAATGAGGGCTCAGGTAAGAAACATCTGCCCTGGGAATCTCATCCTCTGTCAAAAGCCTGAGACAAACAGCCAAACAAGGCATCTCTTTGTGTGCTCTGAATACTCTGAGCACAGAAGAAGGGCTGAAGTTCAGTGTCCTCATAAGATGGAAGCACAATGACTACCATTCTTTGATAGAAGGGGCCCAGACTACCAGGTGAAAACATTACAGTCTTGTAGAAGTAGGAAAGCTTTCCTCGTTGTGGATCCTGCTGTGTCTGCTGCTTTCTTGTCCTTCTCATTTGGCTCCGTGATTATCCTTCTCCACAGGAAAGTCAACAACCTGAATAGGTTCTGAGGTCAGTACTCTCAAGATTTCCATCTAAGCTGGGTGGCTACATGCACTCAGAAGTCTGTTGGCAGTTTGCTGTATTGGTCCATCTGGCCTACCTCTAAGTTGCTCAAGTAGGGAGAAAATAATAAATTCTGCCTTAGGCCTCTGAAAACTTCTAGTTTTGAGGGTTAATAAGTAGCTTGCAAACAACAAAAACAATTTCCAAATGAACAGCTTAAATTCACCGAAAGTCCTACTTCTGGATAAGGGGAGCATATTCCCTCATCCAAGGGTATCTAGCTTGGAAGAAGAAACAGGACTCTTTTAGCCCAATGGCATACCAAGGGCAGGGTGTGTAGTCCACCCCGGGCACAGCTTGAGGAAGGCCCTTGAAGGGGGGCTCTTGAAGTCAGAATCATGCTGCATCCAGCCGAATGTCTTTCTTTTTATTTTTAAAATGCAATTCTGGCTGCAGCCACTAGGGGCGTAGGGGAGTTTGAGCATAGTAAAAAGCACTCTAGGATTGGCTAAACTTCCCTTGCTCCAAGACCCAGCCAGCACGCTGATAGCTGCTACAGTAATTGGCAGCCTGCAGGTAACTTTCTCCAACAGTCTCGCCTTTCTCTCTTCCTTTCCTTGTACCCAGCTCAGCCAGATCTTGCAAAGCAGTAGTTACAGTGTTGCAGCAAGATAAAACAACCTTTCCCTCTCTTAATTTCTCTCCCTCTTTTTCACACTTTTCTCATTCATTTATGCCTCTCTTCACCTAATTTTTCTATGCCCCCCCCCTTTCAGTTCTTGGTCTCAAGACCTTCTCATCCCTATCCTGCTTGGTGACGGAATGTATTTAAAAGTAGTATAGTAGCAAACGTTTGTTAATATTATGAATCTGCTGGGTACTATAGATTGCACTGGTTCTGCTGGGCTTCTAACCCCCCCCCCCCCTTGGACTGTTTCTGTGCTTGGCATCAGTTCTGCTGAGCTGGCATTGCCACAATGGCAGTGAGTTTGCTGGGCACCCTGTGACTGCACTGGTACTGCTGGGTACTTGGTATGTTGCACTGGTTCTGATGGGCTTGCAAAATGCCCCCCCCCTTTCAGTTTCTACTGCAGAGATTCTCCAGTTTGACTTTAATCCTTTGGAAACAATGGAGGATGGGGGCACCCTCTTTTGAGGGTAGTGTATTTCTTAACATCCAGTCAGGTGAAGCATGCGATCACTATCTTGTGATCTTTTGGCTAGTGTTACTTAGTAAAAGTTAGTACAAAGGCAGACTCCTATCTCTCAAAAATGCCTTGTAGATGTTTGGGATGGTCAGCTTGTGCAGTTCAAAATGGAGAAAACAAGCCCTCCCAAGTGCCTGCTCAGAACACGAGTGGTATGATACAATTTATTTATTTTTTGCTGTCAAGTCCACAACTGACTTATGGCAACCCTGTGTAGGGTTTTCAAGGCAAGAGATGTTTGGACGTGGTTTGCCATTGCCTGCCTCCATGCTGGCCCTGCTTAGCTTTTGAGAACTGACAAGATCAGGCTATTCTGGTCAGGGCTAGGTCGAGAGTAGTGTGACTGGCCCAAGGTCACCCAGAAAGCTTCCATGGCACAAGTGGGGATTCAAACCTGGATTTCCCAGATCCTAATCTAACACTTTAACCACTACACCATCCTGGCTCTCAAGATGGAATAGCGTGTTGGAATTTGAATTTTTTTCGTGGCATGATTATATATATGAAGTTAAATAAAAGAAAAAATTCACTTTCTGCATTTCTTTTCCAGCTATTATTATTATTGTTTTATTTCATAATTATTACTGAAAATAATTTTGTCATATAGCTAAGCAGGGGTGATGCGGAGGCAGGCAATGGCAAACCACCTCCCAATGTCTCTTCCCTTGAAAACCCTACAGGGTCACCATAAGTCAGCTGTGACTTGACGGCAAAAAAAATAATAGAGGAAGGGGTATTAAAAAAATTATCTGCCCCGGATGCCAAAGAGGCTAGGTATGCTACTCTTTTAGCCCCATGGGGATTGTTCCACAAGCAAGCACTTCCACATCATGAAGGAATGGACTCAATATAGAAAGAATGGTATACAGGTTTACGTAGGGAGTAACTATACTTAGAAAGAAAATAACTGTAAAAAGTCCAACATCCTTCTGAGAACTCATCTGTTTCTTATTGTATGACTTACCCAATCTATCTAGTTTTCAGCTGGAAAAAATCCTACATTTCAGCCATTTAGAAAAAGCTTTCACTTTCTATTAAACAAAACCTGGTCTATTAAGAATTTCACTCTTCAAAAAAACTACTAAGAGCATGCAAAAAACAAATTATTCCCAAGAGAAGTTATTTTGACTCATTTGTACACACAATATGCTATAGCTAAAGATCAAACTGTCCAAAACAATGTTGATAGCATCATATTTTCCTGGCGAATAGCTCTGTTCTCTAAGTGGAAGGTGGATCTCCCTAAAGAGGTGAGCAATTCCTAGCAGTCAGTAGTCCTGTGCTCCTTTCATTTCTTATCCAATTTCTTTTTATTCTGAGTTTTGCACATACTTGCAACTTGCCCAATTTTCACTTGGAAGTCAAAGCAATGGGGATTTCTCCCTGAGCTGCATGCCTAGCCATATGTACAGCTGAGAAGTTTAGGGGGAAAAAACAAGCTCCTACAGCTGAGAAGTTTAGGGGGAAAAAACAAGCTCCTGATGTTCTCACAGAATATTTTCTGGAGTTCATAACAAAAAGATTGTCAGGGACGCCTTGAGTACATATTGTCCCTGGCCTTGGGCAAAAAGAGAGTGCCATCAGCAAAGCAACCACGCTTTGCTTCCCCTCAGTGACATTTAAGCAGTAACTGAAATACTATCATAAAGGGAGCAAATGCACTTACCTTTGGGACATGAGGGTTAAATTCAACAGCTCTGTGAATTGCTTCTACTGCATTAATCTCTGCTGTACTAAGTCCTCTTCTCGAGGCTGTTTCTGGAGAGAACCTGCAGCAACACCCAAATGCTTGATAAATTTCTAAAACCAAGAACAACATAGCTTCTTTCCTTTTAATTTATCTTGAAAAAGGTAACATGTGTAAGCAAACTGTGCTGGCAGACCAGCAATGCAAGACTTCAGTCCTACAATGCAATTCATGCTACTTCAAGATGCCATTGCATATGAGCTTTACAGCAGAAGTGACACATTTAGCTCTTTGTTTCTATGGTGGTCCATGCAAACGAAACTTTGACTCAAGGCAAGAATTCATCTTTCACCTATCCTATATAAGTCATCAGTGAATGCTCAGGAAACACATACCACTGCTAACTCAGAACAGCAACCCATATCAAGTTCAAAGAAACAGGAGACCAAATACCCTTAAATCCAGTTTCAGGCTTAAACCTGATTAACATAAAGAACAGCAGTGAAACAGGTATTGTCTGCAACTGCACCCATGTGACAACCACTCCACATGTTAAGATAACTGCATAGAGCAGCTCCTCATATAGATTCTCCCCTCCCTCCTTACATGCATACACTACCAATCTGTCGTTAAAGTACTGCAATATACTTGGTTTGAAGAGGCATGGAAAGCACCAAGTGAGGAACAGTTTGCCTCACAGAGAGGCCACTACCCAGATGTGCTTGCAAATAGCCCTTGTGCAGTAATCATTTTGAGTAAAACATGCCTCACTGTTCAAGAAAAGACACACAGCAACCAAAAACAAAAGCCAGTTTAACCTTGGCATTTAGGAATAGCCAGGCAGTAAACCTGCCAGAGGCCTTTAATGCCAACATTGTGATTACTTGTTTTACCACACACTGAGATCACTTGCCAGTATGGGATGAACTCTGCACCACACATCTCATACCTCTTTGCATGCTGGCCAGAGTCAGTCAGATTAACATTTTGATTTGTATCAAGCTCACCAACGTGGTTATTGCCAGGTTCCAAGATATTATGTGAATTGGCTTATACTGAAGACCTTTTAGAGTTATTAAAACCCACTTAGGATGGACTGTCAACCCAGCATTGTGTTTATGCTGTAAATTGTTTTGATATTGCAGTCATGTGAAAATGACTTACCTATCTGAAACTGCTCTGGCCTTTAGCAGTGCTGCTGTGTAACATATTGCTGCTGATTTTGGAAGGCTGATATCTATGGAACAATAAATGGTTGACTTTAGATTCTAAAGTGAGAAACATTTCAAAATCACTACCTCTGAAGACAATAATTTACATTCGGTCCCGGATCTGGTCATCTTATATTTTTAAATCCTCTTCATTTGATATAAAGCTTCAGACCTTTAAAATTCTATCTCATGGATATGTAACCCCGCTTAAATTACATCGGTGTGCTCCCCTGTGCAGGAACATGTGTGGAGAAGTGAGTTTGAGCATTGTTGGTGGAGATGCAAAGTTAACACGGCATTTTGGGAACAGGTTTTAAATCGGATTTATATTATGACTGGTTTTAATATACCTATGAAACAAGACTCTTATTTCTAAACTACTGGTCAGATCTAGATATATCAAAACCTACAAAAGAATTAATAGCCACATTATTGATTGCAGCAAAAACAGCTATAACTGCGAAATGGAGAGACAAGGCAGGGCTTGCCATAAATATGTGGCATAACAAGATATGGGCTGCGGTCACACGCAACATTAGCCACGCAAGAGATACGGAAGACAAGCGGAGTTTCCGGTCGCGATCTCACCAGCACATCTGGGAAGCGTAGTGCTTCCGTGGCACAACTGAGGCTTCCTGCCGAAAAAGCGCAGCAAAAAACTAGTACCTTGGAGGTACTAGTTTCCAGAAACTGCGGGGCAAGGGCGGGCGTCTGATCGCGTTTCCGGTGGTATCCGGCGCCCGCCCATGTCCCCTTGCGGAAAAGGGTTTTTTTCCCCCCACGTCTCCGTGGATGCGCACACGCACCCAACGGAGCATGCGCATTCGTAGTGTACACAAAAAAAGAAAACCAGTTCGCCGCGCCGCGCGCTTCTTCATTGCGCGCAGGCGTGTGTTGTGATCGGCACCTCTCCCTTGCCATGGAACCTCCACAGTACCTCCACAGAACCTCCACAGTAGGTCTGATCGCTTTACTGCATGTTAGTTTGCCCCGGGGCAAACAGCCACACTTCTCCTCTGCAGTTTCCTGCCTGTGTGGCAGGGGCCATGGAATCGCTATATAGTGGGGAAAAAATAACTGATCTAATAACTTAAAGTAATATGGATATGGATATTTATTCCAAATTTGTAGTAAAGTGGTTTCCTATATTAGGTTATTGGGGGCCGCGGTGGCTCAGAGGTTAAGATGCTGAGCTGCAGACCGGAAGGTCTGTAGTTCGGTAGTTCGAGACCCTAGTGCAGCATGACAGAGTGAGCTCCTGTCTCTGGCCCCAGCTCCTGCCAACCTAGGAGTTCAAAAGCAAGAAAATGCAAGTAGATAAATAGGTACCACTTTGGTGGGAAGGTAACAGTCTTCCGTGTGCCTCGGCATTTCGTCATACCGGCCACATGACCACGGAGAAGTCTTTGGATAGCACTGGCTCTTCAGCTTGGAAATGGAGATGAGCACCAACCCCTAGAGTCGGATTCCACTAGCTTTCGAGCAAAGGAAACCTTTACCTTTACCTATATTAGGTTATTTGGCTTCTCACAATGTGGTTCCTAAAAAATTGGTTCATATGAACTTGCTTAATATCTGACATTAGAAAGGTGGTATGATATGTTTGGTAGCTGGTTGGTTTAAATTCGTTGTTATGATCCACTTCTCTATTGCAACATAACTGAGAAGTATTTTTATATGACATTCTATGCATCTTATATGTTCAATATCTTACTTATGTTCTTGCTTTGTATATATACTGTAATAAAGGAGGAGGAGGAGGAGGAGGAGATTGGATTTATACCCTGCCCTTCACTACCCAAAGGTGTCTCAGAGCGGCTTACAAACTCCTTTCCCTTCCCCTCCCCACAACAGACACCCTGTGAGATAGGTGGGGCTGAGAGAGCTCTTAACAGAAACTGCTCTTTTTCAAGAACAGCTCTTATCAGAACTATGGCTTGCCCAAGGTCATCCAGCCAGGTGCAAGTGGAGAAGTGGGGAGTCAAACCCAGTTCTCCCAGATTAGAGTCCGCGCACTTAACCACTACACCAAACTGGCTCTCTAAACTCAATAAATAAACTACAACCCCCCCCCCCCATTTACAATTTACCCAATGTTTTATACCAGACACATCAAACATATGGCCCAGGGGCCAGATCCTGCCCATCCACAGCTCTTATTCAACCCGTGAGCAACTGGGGGGGGGGGGGGGGACAGCCCAAATGTGAGCGGGAACTGGAAAGGCACGTATTCGGGTATTATACGCTCCTGCTGAGGTCCCTCCCTTCCCCAAATGTAAGCCCTTCCCAGGGTCTTCCCTCAGATCTCCAGGGATTGCCCAACCCGGAGCTGGCAGCCATAAGGGCTGATGAGGGCTGGTTTGGCCCGGAGCTCTGCTGATGATCGGTATGGGTCATGGTCAGTGATAAAACAGTCAGTGGTAAAATGTCTCCAGTACTTGGCATTACATTTTATGGTACACATAGCCCAGCCTGACAAAGTGACATTTATGTCAGATCTGGCCCTTGTAACAAATTCGTTCAACACCTATGTTTTATACTGTGGAAACGTCTTGAATTCTCCCTTCTAAGATGTTTTCATCTTATATGTTGTGTGTAAAATGTCTAAGATTAAAGTTTTAAGATGAACTCAGAATTTCTGTCTGAGTGCATATCAAGAAGAGCAGTCTGTGTGTCCCTCAAGTGATCAATCCACGCAATAGGGGCCCTTCTGCTCCCACAGAGGTGGTGGCTAGAAGAGGTACTTCAGAATTAATTAGCTTGACTTGTTGTAGGTGGTGTAGAGGGAGAAACTATAGAAAGAGTCCTGGCTAGGCATCTCAGTCTCTTGTACATGCCTTAAGAACTCCATTGGATCATGCCCCAAACAGCCTAACTCTGTAGAAGCCCAGTAACAAACTGCTTCAGCACCAGTGACAAAGTGCCTGAATAAGGCTAGAGTAACAGGCGAGACGAGCACATGTGTGAGTTCAGCAGCTCAGTGAGAAAGCCACAGCACTAGAGTTTCTTCCTCTCAACATTCTAAACCATAGAATACTTTTCCCAGATTGAGTAAACACTTCAGGTTTGAATTAAAAATATTTAAAGATATAACTACCTATCAAGGCAGAATGCCAGCAGGAGTGAATAGTGTCTACTTTTATTGTCTATTAGCCACGATGGCCAAACAGAACCTTTGTATTCCCTGCCTGTGAGCTTGCCAAGGAATCTGGTTGGCCACTGAGTAAACAGAGGGGAATTTCAGACAGCCGATATATTCCGGTTCAGGAACTGTTCCCTAAAGGTTTCTGGTCTGACATTTCAGACAGAACCGTTTTAGTAACAGTTCCCTACCGGAATATATTTTCACTTACAGATAGAAACACTTCTGTCCCGTTCAGGAAACGTCGCTGAACTGTTTTACCTGCAAACTGCTTCCAAGCGGTCTCTACTTTTCTATACCGCTTCTGAAGCGCTATGGAGTGCTGCGTAAAATGCCCCATAGCACTTCCTCCTGCGCCGCTTTGTTTTCCTGCCATTTTTTGCCTGCACGGGCAATCTCTGTCCTTTTTTTTTTTTTTTGAACGTTCATTTTAGAGTGCTATGGGGCTATAGCACTATAACACAGCACCAAAACAGCAACCCCATTGGAATGCCTGGATATATGAGATGGCTACATCTGCCACCTGGAAACAAGTACCTCATTGGACTGCAGGCTTTGGCAGGAAATCAGGGCATCAGTGATTGGTGTGACAGATGCTGCTAACCCTTCCATGGCCACTGTGAGTCCTTGCATTGTGGGGGGATGACAGAATCCAGGAAGCTCTGCATTCATCCCAAATAAATTATTTCCAAGGCAGACCTTCTTGTTGAAGAGCTCCTCCAGAATCACTTCCTTCACAATAAGGAATGCAGTTGACAGGCCCACACCAAACTGATGTCTGAGTTCCCTGAATACTTCTTGTTTGGCCAGGTACCATAGGGTGATGGCCAGTCTTTTCTCCACTGGAATGGATATCCTAATGTGAGTGTTCTGCCACTCAAGACGGTGCCTCAGGGAACCAGCTAGTTCAAAAAAGGTTGCCCTAGACATCTGGAAATTCTTCAGCCAGTCTTTATTGATCCATGTGCCCATCAGTGTGTTTCCACCAGTCCTCAGTCCTCTCTTTTACCCACCAATGTCGAGGGACTGTATGGGCAGCAATGTCAGGTGCCCATGCCCTGATAGATGCCCTCCAATTGTACCTGGAGGGTGCATGGCTCAAGACAGGCATGTCAGTTCTCCTCCCCCTCCTCCTAGAAGTGTGTAAGCACCTCACTCAAAGCTGCTGTGCTGCTGATCATCATCTGCAACACCTCCAGGATCAGTTGCAACAAGGTAGTTATGGAGACAATGACTAGATCAGTAGCCTCTCACACAATCACACAAAACTACTATAACCAGACAAGCCTACCACTCACCAACTTCAGCCCACAAAGATAAGGGGTTTGCCTCCCTGCCCTTTATACCTGATCCAGCTCTGTGCCAGTCACTTCCCAGCCAATCGCCTCTTGGCATGGATGGATGCATATCGGGCTGGGTCAGCAACATCTGTCTCACCAATCACTGATGCCCTGATCTCCCGCCTAAACCTGCTGTCCAATGAGCATCTTCTCCCCAGCTGGCAACCTGACAACCCATCACCTTCCCCTGACTCACAGTGGGCATGGAAGGGTTAGCAACATCTGTCACACCAATCACTGATGCCCTGATTTCCTGCCAAAGCCTGCAGTCCAATGAGGTACTTGGGCCATAGCACTCTAAAATGAACGTTCAAAAAAAAAAAAAAAAGGACGGAGATTGCCCGCGCGGGCGAAAAAGGGCGGGAAAACAAAGCGGCGCAGTCTGAAATGCCAAACCGCTTCAGAGACGGCTCCTTACCTGTAGGGGAAAGGCTGTGTAAAATGGCAGCCCTGTACTGGTTTACTCCAAGACGGTACAATAACGGCTTAAAAACGGCTTAAAAAGGGGAATGTGAAATTCCCCAGAATGATTGACATGGATTATCACTAGACTGATTGAGTAGGGTAATTTTTATGTTCTTAATTCTAGGCATTATACAACACTAGAAGCTAGCAACCACTGTTTTGACCAATTGATATCTATGCATACAACCAGATGCCCAACAAAAATCCAGGATGGTGAGAGAATGTTTGTGTTCTCCAAGAATATCACTTTTCTTGCTCTCTTCCATGCATACCCTGACCCCCCCACACTCCCGTTCTTTCCCTCTTCCTTTTTATCAACAATCCCTTGATCTCTCCTATCTCAGAATAAGCTGTTTGGGGGAAGCATCAATACCACAAGCACAAGATACGGAAGTATCTAATCTGATAAAACAGTTAAATATTTTTATCTAGCCCCTATAATTCCATGCAAAACATGAATCCTCAATTTATCTACTTTTGAAAGTTATTTTTAAACTTAGGTACAAGTATATTAGCTGCTAGAAATGTAACATTTTCAATAATTTTGAAGCCACGGG